TTTTCAAACGACTTTCAGATGATTACATGACTTTTAGATGAATGTGATGATATGGCTTGCGGCTCTCCAGTATGCATGAACGCCGTCGGTTGCATAGATGTCAACCGTGATTACACGTATTGTATATGTCAGCCGAAGTTCACAGGTCTGCAACAGTTTCTCTTATGAATGTATGAATATGGATAGATAAAGAAAGAGAAGGCTAGAAGCCTAAAAAATAAATATTTGTCAAGCAAACTTTCAGAACCTACGAATACGTGTGTTCCTCCTTCATTATAAATAAATTAGCTATAATTTATGGCGAAGAAGGTAGACCGTTGTGGGTTCCGAGAGTTGTGGGTTCCGCTTCACTTAATAAATATGTTTTTGTAGGCTTCTAACCATCTCTTTCTTTATTTGTTATTATCAAGAGCTTGATTGTCATTTTCATCTGGATAAATGTGGTTGCTTTAGGCAAATATTGTGAGGTTCCTTTCGATCCATGCGAAGGCTCCTCGTGTAAGCCAGGCGGAACTTGTCGCTCCACGTCAAATGGTTTTCTTTGCAACTGCTCTGATGGCAAATTGGCATTAACCTGTGACCAAGGTAAACTGTTTCATAAGTGTATTTAAGCGCTTCCATCCTCTGAGAAAGATGCTGATGGATTTTGTCATTTTTCTTGATTCGTGCTTGGTACCTATTATCGTTAAAAATGATAACAATAATACTTTCAACAAAAGAAATTCGTTATATCACTTTGTTGAGGATTTCGAAAACTCCTTCGGTTTTGTGCTTTCTTCAATATGACTGACAAAAACATTTAACGACCAAAGTCACAGCCTGACGTTGATGTCTTAGATCGTTGCTTTTCCTGAGGATGTTCATTATTTGGCCGACACTTTAGCAGTAAAATAATGTTCAAGCTAAAGTGCCTAATTCAAGTTCCCGGTTGTGTCTACTGATAATAAAACCTTCATTATTCGCTAATTTATATACTTACGATATTAATCGTTTCTCACCATTACAACTATATGCACTTATTTTATTAAACTTTGCTCTAACAGGAAAATTCTCAACTGAAGTCCGGCAGTTTCAACGTTGCGAATAGGTGTAATAGTGTTTAAAACGGAAACTTTCATTTGTAATCGATTTATTGCACTAGTTCTTCAGTTCAGAAGCATCATTATAAAGGCAAATCCATGAAAAAAGTTATGGTTTTTTAAAATATATTATGTTGTCATGAAAGACTGTGCTGTCACTTATACGAATGTCGTTTTGAAAACATATCTGCCACCATTTAACACAACACCAGCGTAACTCACCTAATTTAGCAGCTTCTGATTTGCAGTTGAATGATTGTTTTTTCGAATCCCGGCCAAGTGTATGTACGCACCTATACAAGTATCGTGAGATGAGGAGAAAGCCGGATATCATGTGCCATTCTGACCACCAAGCTGCAAATACTGTCTTAAAACTAAATTCTCCTTGGCTAATATCGAAAAAGTGATCAGTATCATATAAGAAGGTCGTAAAGAATATGCCGAAGCGGTTCGCAATGGAAATATAAAAAACAGCATTCCAACAGCTAACATTCATTTATTTCTTCTTAAACAGGATGAATATTTTCAAAATGTAAGAAAAAGACTGCAGTTTATATATATGCATCATCTGATCAGATTCAAACGTAGTTTATGAACGAAACTCTGAAACTGAAATTGTTGTTTTACCAGTAAAAAAATTCTAACATTAGAAATAGAAGCCTTTATCTCTTTTGACTTGGTCCTAGTTCGATCATAATTATGAAAACTATATTACAACTCTAGTCATGTCAACCGAAACTTCCTATGCCAAAGCGAAGCGCAGAAGGATATAAGAATACTTGTATCTCTAACTTAAATATAGGTACTGGTTATGAAATTGAGGCTTGCAGCATCTAGTTGTTTCGAATTTCTTGAAACATAATTTAGGCCTAAGAGTAGATAATTAATTGCCAAAAATATTTTTATTCGTTTCACTGTGAGCCAGTAAAATCTATTGTTTTTGATTTCATATAAGAATGCACATGTATCTTTTGCAGCAGCACCTGTACATCACGTTCTGAAACGCCGTGATATAGTTACCAATGCTGTCGGTATGATTCATGTTATTTGCCGTGTAATAAATATTGTAAAAGTGCATGTGGTGGAAAATGCAATGCGTTGTTCTAAACTATCTCTTGTGTTATGGGAGTGCAGGAATGAGAGTGTTCTGTTGTACCATCAAGCCTATCGTGTTTACGGCAGTCACTTTTAATTCGAGATGTCAGTATTTAAATAGAGATCGTTTCCATTTTGAGAATCATACCAAAAATGCAGCAAAACATAATTCACTCAGCTCACCGCAAACGACATGTACTTCAGAACGACAAACCTCTGCTAGCGTTTCGGTAAATATCTCTAAGGTTTACATGATAACGTTTGCTCATCTTTGAAAGACTTTCCGTACTAACAAAGGAGGCCACCAGCGCTTGAAAATCACCGTAAACGCTAGCGAACTTCATTCAAACGATGTCGGTGTCAAAAAGGCGAACGATTATCGTGTTTCCAAAAAAGGTGTGCAGGACTATCGCCGGAAAAGCAGTTATACGAAGTTCCATATAACCAGTACTCCTGCTTTTTACCGAAAACACTAATGCCTGTGCTTGTGAGCTACGTCATTGCTTTTCGGGCAGTAAGCTCCGTCAGTCAGTCAGTTTTGATGACCATTATCGTCAAGAAGTACTAGCAGTTTCGCCTTTGTTTCTGGAGGCATTTCTGAGACCTACCCAAACCATCGCAGCTGTGATTTCTCAATCTGAAGATGCAGCAGTTGTACCAGAACTTTCCTGGATATCTCTATATTCCGGACCGTGTCGAGACGTGTGAACGCAGCGATTATTCTCAGAAATCTCGTTTCAGCCGCTTGTACCTTGTATCGAAGTTTTTTAGCCATCGACCACGACTGATAACCATAGGCAAGAATGGGGGATGAGTATCAACATCAGTACAGAGAGATTAGTGTTCAGACCCAGCCCTGCTTTAGTAACAGTGGTTCCAGCTACTTCATGTAGAAT